TCCCTCTGCCCCTCCCCTAACCCCCCCCCCAAAAAAAACAAAGAATGCAGGTTAAAATACATGATTTTACCTGTTACATTTAAGACAGCTGATCATCCTCTATCAAAGTCTACCCATTGTGCTGACCACATCCACACCTTCCAGGAGTAGGAGTAGCCCCTACAGGGTTCTGGGCCTCTCTTCCTGGGAGAAACTTGAAAAAGGCAAGTTCTTAGGATGAACTGTACTTCCCATCACTGTCGCTAGTCCCAGGGCCACAGCTGATACTCAGTGACCTCCCTCCTCTACTGCAGCCCAGATTCCCCTCTCTCTCTGCTCAGGGAACCTCCATGGCTTACCTCGTGGCAGGGACCCAGACCCTCAGCCCTGAGGAATGTGAAGCCCCAGTCAATGTGCACTTCTCAGGCTGGAGTGACTGCACTTTTCCATCTGCCATCCAAAATGGGTGTGTGAATACCCACAGGAACCCAAGGAGACAACCTGGATGCCAAACATTTCTCCCTGCCCAGGATAGGTGATAGCATAGCTACATCCTCCTGCAATGGGGGCCCGTTTCCTCCTACAAAGGTAATCACTGCTCCTCTTGCCCAAGTGACAGCCATCACTCCTAGTTTAATAAGACTTTTCCAGGGGTGTCTGGGTGGCTCAGTGAGTTGAGCGTCCACCTTCGGCTCAGGTCATGATCTCACGATTTGTAAGTTCGAGGTCCACATCAGGCTCGCTGCTGTTAGCCTGTCAGCGCAGAGCCTGCTTTAGATCCTCTGGCCCCTCTCTTTGCCTGTCCCCCCATTGCACTCTCCCAAAAATAAATAAATATTAAAAAAAAAAAAAAAAAAGACTTTTCCTAGATCTCCTGGGGGAAGTATTTCCCCTTTGGGTCCTGGGACATCTAAAACCCACAGAGCCCAGCATTGCAGACACAAGAAGCACGGATTCCCCAGAGGGTCACTACCAGTGATGGTAAGCAAGCCTCCTCCTGTTTCCACCCCCTGGCTCCCAGATCCATGTGTTCTTGCTCTTGGGGACACGGTATGATACTTGAGCCTTGGAGGATGTTTTGGAGGATGATCCTGCCTCCCTGCAAAAGTATTGCCTCTAAGCTAGTGCTTCAGCTGTGTCGTCCATCATTCTGTCAGGCTGGCAACTTCCAGATGCTGCAACATGTCATATGACTAGTAAATGCCCCAGCAACGAGCCCCTGCCACACCTCCTTTGCTATAAAGTAGGTCCCATGGTCCAATGAGGTGTCATTTGGGATTGTGTCCTGGTAGATCTAATACTACGTAAGCTCTGGATAGCGGTGCTGACTGAGGCCCTGCGGCAGGAAAGGCAAACCCGTACCCAGGTTGTACGTCTATCCCTGTCAAAGTGAATCCTTGCCCCTTTCAGGATGGAAGGAGTCCAGTGCAGTCAACTTGCCACCAAACGCCAGGCTGGTGTTCTAGGATTGGTGTTCCTTTAGGGACTTAGCTTTGGTCTCCGTTGCTGGAAGGGTCAATGTTTGGCAGTAGCTAGATCAGCCTTGGTGAGTGGGAGTGGGTACTGTTGAACCCATGCATAGCCTCCATCCCTGCCACCACGGCTACTGTAGTGAGTGTCTGTTGTGCCGGCCCCAAGGCAGCTGATACCAGGCTAGCTGACATCAACGGACCGAGTCGTTTGTCTCCCTGGTCGTTTAGTGCCTCTTCAGTGCTAGAGGCTTTCTGCCGGGTTTTAACGTGTGATAGATCCTCATACTTCATGCCTATTCCCGTATGTCTGTTCACATCTCCCTAGCCGAGAGTTCCCTATCCCCAAACTTCCCCTCTTTCTCCTTTTAGACTCCTGATCAGCTGGCCAAGTGCTGTGCCTTACCCCTGAGTCCCTATATATTCTGACCTCCAGTAACTTCTCTTTCTGTGCCAGGTAGTTGACTAAGTGTACCATCTAAGCTCTGGCCAATGGGAGGATGTCCCATTACCACTCGGTCTTTCAAGGCCAACTCTGAGTGGGGTTGTAGTGCAGCAGCCGTCCATTTGGAATTGTACTCACATTCTTGGCTGATCTATCCATGAACCGAACTCAGGCACCTCTATCAACTAGTCATAAGGGGTTCCCTTATGCAGCTATTGGTGTAAGCTGATGGAGAGTCTTTGGAATGACAGTGCTAGAGGCTATGGCAGCCTGCTCTACGTGCTCATACAGTGCCCTTTGGTCCTGAATATATATTGATTCTGGGCCTTCCCATCCCAGGACTGGGTGTGTCCGATAGTACCTCACTCACAATGGGTAAGTTGAATTGCACGGTCTCTTGGTGCTCCCTGCCTAGTAGCAAGCCAGGAGCTGCTTTGCAAAAAGGTGATTATCTCTCCGTTTCGGAAGACATGACCTTGCTATAGAATCCTAGGGGTTTACATTGTGATTCTCGCATTGGGGCTTGTTACAAATTCTGTGTGGCATTATTTTTCCCATCTGGATACCTCTGCTAATAGGATATGCTACATAATAAGTCTGCTTGCACTACAGCCTAGACCTGCTTCAGGGTCCTTTTTCTGCTCTTGACCTCACTCAAAGCTGGCCGTCTTTCGTGTCAGCTGATATATGGGCCAGAGCTGTATGTCCAAGTGTGAAATATGCTGTCTCCAGCACCCAAAGGTGTTACGCTTCCTACTTCACATTATTCTAAAATGCTTCAAGATGCAATATTTGTCCTTTAATATGAAAGGGATGATCTGGAATTCCCTAGATCACTAGAAACCTACACATTTTCATGAAGTGGCAAGCTCTTGAATCTTCATAGCGTTGGCATGTAATCCTCTGGAGCACATGAGTCTTCCTAAGCTCTTCTGGTTCAATTAGCATGATGTCAGAAATATAGCAGACCAGTGTGATTTTCTGCAAAATGTGTAGGTAGTCCAAATCTCTTCATACCACATTATGACGGAGGGTTGGAAAATTAATATAGTTCTCAGGCAAGATGATAAATGTGTATTGTTGTCCATTCCAAGTGAATGCAAATGGTTTTTTATTCTCTTTCTGGTGGAAAATATTGTGTTTACCAGATCTGTATTGTGGGTACCCAAGGGCAAGTTAACCTGCTCTAGCAAAGACACCGTAGATGGCACAGAAGCTGTAATTGAGGCTTCTACTTAGTTGTATTTATGCTGTTGTAGTGTCATCCTTCAGGATCCATCTGGTTTTTGTAGGAGCCGGACTAGTGAATTAAATAAAGGTACGATGGCAAATAACACCCTTTCATTGTCTAGAATGGTGGTACCATTTTCTGTGATCTTCCCCTCGGTAAGATACTGGTTTTTTTATTTACTGCTTTGGAGATGTTGGGGAAAAGCAAAGTCTCAGAAGCTTCTACTTGACCTTGTCCACTATTACAGCTCTTACCTCACAGGCTAAGGAACCAACATGGGACTATACCAACTACCAACTATGGCTGTTCAAGTCATATATCTGCAGACTGGTAAATGACTGCTGGGTGGGTCCCACTCACTGTGAGCTGGTCCTGGGCCAGAGCTCTACTCAATACCTGGGCTCAATATGCTCCCACTCTAATGGGTAGTCTTGATGATGTTTCAAGTCTTTGAATATCAATGTCACCTTGCATCCTGTGCCCAACAGTCCTTATGATATTTGGGTATCTCCTTTCCCCCAGTGTATGGTTACTCTACTAAATGGCCATAGGCACCTTTGGGAGAACAGGAAAATTATCCCCATGTGTACCAACCATGGCATTGCAGGGTCCTTCCTCCTGACGACCTGGCCTCTTCTTCTATCAGTGAATTCCAAGCCTGAGACCTGGCTCAAGTCCACAAACCAGGTGCCAGGCATAAAATTCCACCCATTCCATCATCAGTGAAATGAAATAACATAAAGCCATAAGGCCAGTGGGGAAGAGAACAAGGCAAGTCAAGTTAGGAGGTCCACCAACTGGGTTGGAAAATGGCCTGGAGGTAACTAATGGGGTAGAGCCCAGCCCAAGTCAGGGCCCCCAACTGCGCAGGCACAATGTCCAAATAGTGCTGCAAGTTCAGTTATTGTCCAGGCAAATTCAACCCCGTAGGCATAGCAAAGGACCTTCCCTTTGGTGGAGGGCAACACAGCCCTCAAGCAGAGCCGTACTGAGGTGCTGCAAGGAGACCTGTCTCTCAGCTGCCTCTTAAGGAGGGGCTCTGACAAGATCCAGGCAAAGCAGCAGGGCCCAGCTAAATAATCTGAGCATGAGGGTGAGATCGGGGCCTCAGAAGGAAGCAGCTCAGGTGGGTAACCACGCAGACTATAAAACCCAGCCCTGAATCACTGCGTGCAGTGAGTGCTCACAGCATTCAGACTCTCTGTGGAATCCAAGGCCCTAAAATGGGACCCATATACTCAACTGGGTGGCGGCACCATTTAATTCCAAGTACCACAGGATAGTGGAGCTCAGGCTGCTAACGGAGCTAGGAAGACAAAGGCAAGAAATGTGGCAGCAGAGGCTGAAGGAGGGGCTCATCCGCCTGATGAAGGGAAAACAAGATAAAAGCTGAAATTAGACTAGGTGGGCCCTCTGCTCTGTCCCTACGCCCTCACCTGCCTTGACAGCCTCTCCATTTTGGAAAGTCTTGCTCAGATGCTCGAATTTTCCCTCTACTTCCTAGGGCTAGAAAGGCAGTTATGACGGTTGAAAAGCATAAAGAGATATGAGCGAGGCAAGCTCTGGCTGAGAGGAGCCATGCCTCTTGTCAGTGCGTCTGATTTCTACAACAAAGAGAAACAAAAGCCGGTTCACAAAAAGCAAGCAATAAGATCATCCCAGACTGCTTCTTCTCATAATTGCTTTGCAGACATCATATGGTAATATATTCCTCCCCGCAGAGAGCCTGTGGCAAATGTCAGATGATTGGTTGTGATGTCCATCTTAGAAAGCACGTGGTTCTACGTACTGGCAACACTTCAGTTCCTCCCTGCGTTACTGTCTCCTGACGCAGAATCCTACGTCCATGGTTCACTGGAACTCGATGGGAAAAGTCTGGGGCTTCCTTCTCCAATTGTCTCCACTGTTGACCCCTTTCCTGCAGGAACTGGTACGTGGATGAGCCTTCTTGCGGCAGCGAGGTCTGCGTGGTCATGTACCATCAGCCATCAGCACCTGCTGGCATCGGGGGCCGCTACATGTTCCAGTGGAATGACGACCAATGCAACATGAAGAACAATTTCATTTGCAAATATTCTGATGGTAATGAATCCTTCCCCAAGTCATGTGGCTGAATCCCCAGCTGCCTCTCTTACTTCATAAGCAGCTGCTAGTTCCCAGAATTTGTTATGTGGTCTCTGAGAAAGCTTGTTGGGAATGCCAGCGGTGTTGAACACTGGGGAATGCAGTGACAGTTCCTCCTGGAGGAGTACTTCTAGCAAAGGAGAGGAGTGTCTGATGCTAAGAGAAGGGATGAAGAAAAAAAAGGGTCTAATTTATGTCTGACAAAGTGAGAATCATGACAAGTTCAGGAAACAAAAAGCCCTCTAAGTGGACAAATTCTTATTCTTTCCACATGTGAGGTTGGCTGTAGGAACTTGGAAAAAAAGAAATATGAAAGGAAGCTGGCCATTGTTCCTGCAAGTCTTCTAACAGCCATGTGACATTATTTTCTGGGGCTTTAAGGAAACAGAATAATGACCCGAGGAGGTAGATAATGGAGTACACCGATTTCACTGGCCTTGGACAGATAGCGGTCACCTTGAGGAGCAGGCTTAAACCACCTTGCAGATTCACCTGGCGTTGGCTTCTAGGTCTGTTAAGGTTTTCAAATTGGCTACAAGCCTGCAGTCTCACTCTCCTGGGGTTTCCCAAACTCCCCCATCGTAACTGGCTTAGATCTAAACTTACGTGATTTTTTTTATCTGTCCCTGAAGTTTCTCAGATCCCTAAAGCCAACAGCTGGGTCCCAGCCCTCACCTTTCCTGGTGAGAATAATCCTGTCATTCTAAACTCTTTGAATTGGACTATGCTCTTGCTCTGGTTTTTGCTGCTTAAGGTGTTTTTCCTCTCTCTCCCCCACCTCCACCCCACCCCAGGTGAACTCCTCCCCACAGAGACCTGGCCCTTCCTGCCACACAGAGCTGACTCAGGCAGGGAGGTGGCTGAGACGGGGCTGGCTTAGCAAGTTGCCTCTTCAGAGCAGTAAAAGCAAAACTTTCCATCGCTCTGTTAATTATGTCCTATCAGCTCTGTGGTTTAAAATGTTGTAATTTTTAAACATTTTTTGAAGGAAATGTGCGATTTTAAAAGTTCTTTTCATACCTTTTAATTTTTGGACTTTGAACCTAGCGTGTATATATGTGTATATGCGTATATATACATATACATACATATGTACATATATGTACATATATGAAATATTCATAATATAATATTCATATATATACACACTATTCTTTGTTGCTTTTGCTATTACTTGAATGACACCGAGTCCTGACAGGAAAAAGATTAAAAAAAAAGATGTACAGGATTAATGAGGAGAGTATAATAAAAGGATATTTACAGAAGTGTGGCAAAGAGAAAGAGACGGTGAGGTGCCCAGGGATTAGCCACAGTAGGACGCTGTTACTACCCCTGAGCCCAAAGAAGTAAGTGGAGAGAATGGTTTTAGCAGAACCCCGAGCTCCCATGAGCTTGGAGTCATGGAATAGGAGCCACCCACCAGAAGCCATAACCATAAAATGCAGCGACTGTCAAACCGTGGTGGTGATGCAGGAAGAGAGCCTGGGGAGTAAAGCCTGGGACCTCTCTCTGCTCTCCTGCCTCTGCCTCCCATCAGCTAAGCCCAGTCAGAAGTGAAAAGGCAAGGGAGTCCCAATAACACAGTGCATAGACGTCAGCCTCCTGGGACACAGAGGAGGGCAGACTAGATCTGGCAGAGGGAGGTGAGCACGTGGAGAAAAACACGTTGTCTTTATGTGGCCACCCATCTCCAGGATGAGTTCACACACCGTAGCCATACAAGAAGCTGCACGAGCAGCTCTCTTCACCTCCACTCCCCCATTCCCCTGTGCACGTTGTGAAGCTGTCCACCAACCCCCCCCCCAATTCCCCTCTGCACTCTGTGAAGTTGCCCAAGAGCTCTTGACTGCTGTTCCCTGTGCTTAAAACACTCCTCCCCTTTCCCAGACAACTCATCCTCGCCTTTGGGGTTCACGTTGAACATCACCTCTCAGAAGACTAAGTGCAACAGGTGATTGTGAATTGGATCCTGGAGGATGATGATGGTTTTGTATAAAGCGCAGCTTTAGGACAATTGGCAGAATTTGCATAAGGTGCATAGATTAGGTAATAGACTATCAATGACAATATCTTGGTTCTGATCACTGTTACTGTGGTTATGTAAGAGAACCCCCCCCCACATATGCATATGTCCTGTATGTGTTCTTTGTACATATGTGGGTGTATATGTAGGTATAAGTAAGAATATAGATAGACAGAGAGAGATACAGAGAGACAGAATAATTAAATAAATGAAATATGATAAAATTGTAACTTATGGGTGAAGGCTATATGGGTATTCCTTGTAGTATCCTAGCAAATTTTCATAAATCTGCATTTTTTCAAAATAAGAAGTTAAAAAGAAATCTCCTCTGGGAAACCTCCCAAGGGCCCCTCAAAACCAAGTTAGGTGTTCCTCCTGGGAGGATCAGAGCACCTCACACACACAGTATTTTAACTGCCTATTTATAAGTTTCTGCCTTTCACTACCTGGTTGACATGAGGTCTGGAAACATGCACTTTGGAGCAATGAATCCCTGCACCTGATGGGCTAGGGGAAGGTCGTCCAGGGCGGTCCCAACAGGAAGGCACACCATCTATTATGCCAGAGTAGCAAGAGACTGGTTGAATAACATCTAAAACTAGACAGCATGACCACGTAGAGCAGGTGGCACGCTAGCCAGGGCTGAACTCTGGCTTACGTCTGAGGTGTGCGAAAGGCGTAGGTGTATCCAGTGAAAATGAGAGACAAATCATCTGAGGCAGTGCGTTGCAGATACATCGTAGGGAGTGATGGAATGCTGCGTTCGTGTTGTGCCATGTTTAATGCAGTTTTGCACCGTGGATGGGACCATGGAGGGACAAGAAAATGAATACATCATGTGATGTTCTTGAATACACTATGTATTATCATGTAATGTCACAAATTAGTATTTGTTAATATCATCCTGTGTTTCCATATGCTATGGCCATCCCAGAGAGCGTAAGGACTCTTCTCGTTTGCTGTTGCGTCTCCAGTACCTAGCTGAGCTTGTCTCCTTGCAATTTTAATTTTCACTTGAGTCGTTTGGGTCAAATCCCAGTTCAGCTACTCAATAGCTATGAGATTCGGATAAGTTATTTACTCTCCCTGTACCTCAGGCACCTCGTGTACAAAATCACCGTAGTAAGAGCAACCACCTCATTAGGCTGTTATCAGGGTAAATCATGTTTGTTTTTATAAAACACTTAGAACATGATGTTTCTATCATATAGCAGGAACTATATAAGTGTTTTTTTTTTTTTAATAAATGAATGGATTTGCATTGCACACACACTTATAGGAAGATGATTAAAAGTTTCCTTTCTGGATGAAACTTCAGAATGGCCTTGGCATCCTGGGCTTAGGACTGTGAATTCCGAAATCACACCCTTAAGGACCCCATCCCTATGAATGCCAGAGCATCTGATTAGCATGAGAGATTTACTACCAGTACCTGAGGGTCACACACTCTCAGCCAAAGGTAAAAGTATTCAGTGTAGATGTTCTGTGCAACCTGATTGTCCTGAGGCTCTTTGCAACATTTTGAATGACTCAGGTTCTGGATCACCAGTGTCTGCCTTGGGGCTGGCAGTGGTCTGCTTACCTACCCCCCTACAACCACTTCCACTGCTTGGACATCGTGTTTGTTACCCTCTAAAACATCCATAGTGAGAGTTGTTAAAATGTCTTGGGTTGCTTTTTCTTTGCTTTGCTTTTCTTCTTCTTTTTTTTAGATTGTTTTAAAATTGAGGCCTGAGTGTAGCTGGGGAGGGATAGGGATTACTGTTGAAACTGGATTAGCCATATGTTGGGTGATGGTACATAGAAGTTCATTATACCAGCCTTTCTATTCTTGTTTATATTTGGAAATTCCCATATTTAAAATTTTAAAATACTTTGGGGCGCCTGGGTAGCTCAGTCAGTTAAGCGTCTGACGCTTGATTTCAGCCCAGGTCATGATCTTACGGTCGTGACTGCCTGCATCAGGCTCTGTGCTGACAGCGAAGAGGCTGCTTGGGACTCTCTCTCTCTCTCTGTCTCTCTGTCTCTCTCTCTCTCTCTCTCTCTCTGTCCCTCCTCCCCTCCTCTTTCTCTCTCAAAAATAAACTTAATGAAATAAATAAAATTTTAAAATACTTTTTAAAAAATACCCAAGTAAAGCTGGGGGAAGGCTAGTCTTGGTGAAAAAGTGATTCTTTTGGCTTGCTAACCCAGTTCCTAGCATTGAGTAACACAAAATAAAGTTTATCGGAAGACTGAGTAAATAAGTGGATGCCATGATTTGGCCAGTTTCATTCAGATGGCATGGACATTTACTTATTATTTTCGTATTTGTTTCTTTCTGCCACAGAGAAGCCAACAGCTCCTTCTACAAAGCCTGGAGGTAAGCTATCATTTGAGTTGGGTTCATTGGGACTGTTTCACAGGCCCCCTTTATGGGTTTAGAACCATAGGTTCTTTGGACCAGATGTTCCAACCGAAAGAGCGCGGGTGTTAAGTCATGCCTTTCGGAGAGGTAGATGCCGCGTGCAGCCCTGTCGAGTAGTTCATTAATCTCTCCCTGGTGTTGCCGATTTCTCCCAAAGCTGAAAAGCAACAGCCACAAATTCAGTTTGGGATGTGACTTGTCATTGCTGACAATCTGAGAGGAATAATTCCATCTAATGAGAAAAGAAGTGAGCCAAACGGATAATTTATGCTCCTAGAAGTGAGTCATGGGCCCTTCCCTTTGGCACCTCTGTATCTTATGTGCCTTGACGCCAACTGCCTGCTGTCCATTTCAGTACATGATTCTTGGCAGCAAAGATCTCCCCAGGAAGATGAAGGCAGTTGAACCTGTAGGCCGGCAAACTCAACCCTTAACTTTTCTATGCTTTTAAATGGCCCAAGTCAAAGTGCTCCTCTTTTTGGGGGATCCCACCCACAACCTGGCCACCCTCAGAGACTATCTGGATTATGAGGCCTTTTCTCTGGGGTCTCAAGTCGGTGTGTCTGGCTCCAGGTGAAGGAACAGAGCCAGCAACACCCATGCTTCCAGAAGACACAGGGAAAGAAGATGCCAGAGAGACTTTTAAAGGAAACAAAGGTATGGACCCAACTCTTCTGGGGGAAATAGATGACGGGACTCTCCCGATCACAGATGACCAAGGTTACACTTTCTACTTTGTTCTGTCCTGTAACCACTTAAAAAATGAGCTAGACAGGGCATCTGTGACTTTGCAGAAAGCGCACGAAGTTTTGGGGTTTGTAGTGAAACCACAGGGGGAGATTAGTCGGCCAGGAGGTGAAATGCCTGCCTGAGGATGAGGATAGATAGGGCTGGAGGACGCCCAGCAGTTGTGGGTGGGGGCGGGGTACCGAGAGAATGGCTGTAGAGGAACAAAGGGGAAAAACCCAGGCCGGCAGTGAAGCCAACAGGTCCGACCTTGACATTCACTTGTGAAACAAATAGAGGAAATGGACACAAACATTTCACAACTGGAATCAAGAAGGATCAGAGACAAGGGGGGTGATAACTGGGAGCGCTGATGGAATTTCCACCTGGGCTCTCACCTGGAGTCTCAAAGAGGGAGATCTGGGTTTATGTGGCTGGGAAACTTTTAAAAACCACTTCATTTCTCTGTGCTTTAGTTTTCATGCTCTGCGTGACGGAAGTGACGCCATGTGTCTCACGTATCTGAGAGCCTCACTGTGGCCGTCAAATGACATCGGATATTGTAATACTGCAGTTCAGTTCTGGCATTAGCCACGCCAAGCTAGGACAGAGCCCACACGTTAAGGGCACAGTCTACAGCAAGTCACTTCAGACGTCAGTCACAAGTTCAGGGGTCCCCAGGCCACCCCCACTTCTGGTCAGTTGGCTACAAATCCAGAGGATGCCCACAACCCCCTCAGGTTTGATAGCTCACTAGAACAACTCACAGAATTCAGGAAAATACCATACGTAGGACTGCATTTTATTGTAAAGGATACAGATCACCACCAGCCAGCTGAAGAAACAGATAGGGTAAGGTCCGGGAGGGTCCTATGTGGGGAGTTTCTGTGTCGTCTCCCTGGGGCATCAGGATGCATAATCACCCTCCTGGCACATCAACGTGTTCATTACACAGGCATGATTGATTTGGTCATTGGCCGTGAAATTGAACTCACTCTTCACGCCCCCTCCTGTCCTGAGACCCCCGAGGAGCCCCCTTCCTGAGACATCTTACCAGCATAAACTCTGATACGGTCGGAGGGGCTCCTGAATAATAAAGTTACCCCTATTACCTGCAAAATTCCAAAGATTTAGGGCCTCTCTTCCAGAAGCAAGGTCAAATTTTATTATACAACTGATAAAATGTGTTAAAATGCTTTGAAAAAAGTACAAAGGGCTCTACAGAGGTAGGTGGCATTTTCAGTGCTCATCAGTTTTATGGCGTCATTTAAAGTGGGTTTTGCTTTGGGCTCTTTGTTTGTATGGTTGTTAGGTTTGCAGCCGCACAGGAAAACAAAGCAACAGCTTCCAGAAGGTTGGGAACCTTGGACCAGTGGGAGTAAGAAAGGGGTCAGGCCCCAGTCCTTGATTCCTCCTCAAGCCCCATGACAGAAAATTCTTTGGTTCTAAGTCTTAAAGGATAGGTCGGGATAACAGACCTCTGAATGTCCTCCACAGTCACTGCTCTTGGTCCCAACTGGATCCAATTAGTCTTAGTCATATTTGTTGGAAGGTTACAGTCTGATTCATGGGCTTCATGTGACCTTCTCTTTCCTGGTAACAGCACTGAGACTCAATTCTTCTTCCCTCCCTCTTCCCCACCCCACCTTGGGAACTACCATTTCTGTCCCGAGAGCCAAAGACATCAACACTGCCCAAGCAGCCCCTGCTTTGTTAAGGGACAGGAAGGACAAGAAAAGAGAGTATCTCTTTCCTCTGGGGAAAAAAAAAAAATTTAATTCAAAAAATGCCTCTCTGATATTATGCAAGAGACTCCAACACTTAAACTTCTTTTCTCTATTACTTAGGATAACAAGATAGGTAGAAAACACTCACTTATTGAAACTAGAAGACTTTGCCAACTGGGTAACTGTATACCAATCTCCTTCCAGGAATGCGCTCTTTGAAATACTCTATGTTGATTATGCTTTTTTAAGCCTGTTTTGAAGCACGTAAAAACCACTGATGCTGATAATATGCAATTTTCTTTTCAGAAGCTGCCTTAAATCTTGCTTACATTCTAATCCCCAGCATCGTCCTTCTCCTTGTGGTCATCACAGTTGTGTGTTGGGTTTGGATCTATAGAAGGAGGCAAGTAAAACTGTCGTTGTGTGAGTCTTTGTATCTTCTGGACTCTTTGAGATTTGGACATTGCTCTGTTTACTTCATTAAAAAGCCGTAGCGGCTCCAAGAGAATCACCATTGCAGATTTGAGAGTATATTCTCCGATGGGCTCAGGACATTCAGAAGTACTAAGCATTTGTGCTTAGTTGTGACTAAGAGAGTGATCTTATATTCTTTCATTTTTGTGTAAGGAAGATTTTACATCACTTGAGGGGTGAAACTGTGTTATTTGCCTACTTTGTATACACACATCACTCAGCACAGTACTTCCATGAATGAATACTCTCACTCCAAAAATGTTTGTTAGTTGGGGGAAGGAATAAATAGTGAGCCATTGAAATATGACTGTTCCAGAGCCTTCTGGCAAGCATCTGCAATGAAATCACTTTATTAAAAATGAAATAGCTCAGTCTCTTAAATGGACTTTCTTTTAATTCAATATACAATTATAGATTGCTACCAAATAGCTCCACTAAGTAGCCTAGAGGACCTCTATTTATGAATCATGGGCCACCATTTTTGAGGGACCCACAGCTATTCTCAGTTGGTTTTTTATTCCCCATCATCATGCCATACATAGAAGAAGGCCAGTATGCCCATTTTACAACAGAAAAACTAAGGTCCAGTTGAAGATTTGGCTCCCTTTGATGACCATTTTAAGATGAATTAGTAAAATACCAATGCTTAAGATTTGACTTGTGCACACCTTTGTATTTGCTTTAAGTTTTGACTTGTTTAAGATTTGACTTTTTAAGTTTATAGTCTTGATTGGACTTTAAGATTTGACTCCCTTGATGACTATTTTAAGGTGAATGAGTAAGATATCAATGCAGAGTTGACCCTACAACAACAAGGTTCTGAACTGTGTGGGTCCACTTACACATGTTGTGGGGTTTTTTCCAGTAAATACAGTATAGTACTGTAAATGTTTTTTTTTTTTCTTCTTTATCACTTTCTTTTTTTTAATGTTTATTTTTGAGAGAGAGAGAGAGAGAGATCACAAGCACAAGCAGGGGAGGAGCACGAAGAGAGGGAGAGAGAGAATCCCAAGTGGGCTCCATGCTGTCATCACAGAGCCCAACATGGGGCTTGAACCCACAAACTATGAGATCATGACCTGAGCTGAAGTTGGACGCTTAATCGACTGAGCCACCCAGGCGCCCTGTGATTTTCTTAATAACATTTTCTTTTCTCTCCCTTACTTTATTGTAAGGAAACAATATATAATACATATAACATGCAAAATATGTGTTAATCAACTATTTACAGTATCATTAAGGCTTCAGGTCGGCAGTAGGCTATCAATGGTTCAGTTTGCCGGGGAGTCAAAAGTTACATGAAGATTTTCAACTGTGTGGGGGGTTGGCACCCCTAACCCCTTCATCATTCAAGGGTCAGAAGTAGAACCTGCTTCATTTAATAATAACTTCCTTATAGGATCATTAGAAGGATTAATTCATGCAGAATGGGCTTATAGTAAGCAGTCAAAAATATTAGCTCTTACTATGATTATTTTTATTAATTGATTCTCTTTGATCTAAAAAGAGAATTCAGTTAAAAGTTACAAATATATTTTCCAACTGTTAACTCTGCAGTTGTTTTTGTTTGTTTTGTTTTGGTTGGTTGGTTGGTTGGTTGGTTTTAATTTCCCTTCCTTACTCTATCTATTTAACACCTCGCCAGGATTTGGGAATTGTGGCTTTGAAGCTGGAGTCTATCTCAGGGGGCTTTACCTTTTTCGTGTGCCACAGACATCTGTAACAGTCAAATGAAGCCTATGGACTCCTTCCCAGAACAATATCTTTAAATATATTACAATAAAATATATTGGATTACAAGGGAAGCCATTATACTGATACAACAGTTTAGCAAAATATTTCCAAAAATGATTGTGATCTGGTAATACATGCATTTCTTTATTAATGCTTCCTTATCTAGTAGTGGATATGATTACCATAATTTTGAAACAGAGATGAGTGTAAAATATTTTAAGGCCTCTATGGCAACTGTGATGTGATATGAAAATAACCTGTGATTTCTGTTGGTGATCGAGTCAAAGGTATTACTAATCCTACTCTAGTTTGTTGCCTACACTCAGAATTGAAGGACAGGCTCACTTTCACTTGGAGATGAGTTTTTTTTAATGTGATATTTTTCCCCATCCAATTCTATCCATGGACCCCACTGGGAGCTCTGAGGATTCCAGGATAACCACCTCTGTTCTATGCTCTTGCAGCAGTGAACGATAGCTACGCAATCGCTTTGAATACAACACTTCCCGTTTTGTTACCCCACCTCACCCCACCCCGAAGCCCTGACCTGTAAGTTTCGGTAGGTGAGAAAGACAGTGTAGTGATTGCCCAGGCTGGCTTTCTCCTGCCTGAACAGGAGACACGGGGATATTCTCAGTCCCCTTGTCTAAAATACTTGGCCCCGCTTTTCTCTCCTCCTAGGAAAGGGGAGCGGCCAGGCCCCAGCACAAAGGAGCAGCACACCATCTGGCCCTCTCCTCATGCGGGGAACAGCACAGACCTAGAGGTTTACAACATCATTCGAAAACAAAGTGAAGCCGATTTGGCTGAGACCCGGCCAGACCTGAAGAACATTTCATTCCGAGTGTGTTCGGGAGAAGCCACTCCCGATGACCTGTCTTGTGACTATGACAACGTGGCCGTGAACCCATCCGAAAGTGGATTCGTGACTCTGGCGAGCGTGGAGAGTGGCTTTGTGACCAATGACATTTACGAGTTCTCCTCAGACCGGACGGGGAGGAGCAAGGAGTCTGGATGGGTGGAAAATGAAATATATGGTTATTAGGGCACATGAAAAACACTTGAACAAATGGAAATGGGAACGAAAAGAGGAGCAAAACTCTCCTATTTTCTGTGAGGAAAAGAGAATGTGTATGAAAATGCTCAGTTCGGGTCTTGGGGGTAAGCATGTGACCCCCGTTAGCCCCTGTTGGATCCCCAAGTTTGGCCAAATCCCCAACCCCAGCTCCTCACCCAGATCAGCCTTATGAGAAAGCACCTTGCCCACGGTCAGGCACATAGTAGAAAAGAAATGTCAATCGACTGGTTCTATCTGACTTTCAAGGGAGAGTGACTTCCCTGGCAGGGATAAGTTTGAGGCTGTGGGACTTGGGAAAGCCATCTCTGGGTTCTGGTTTTCTCGCTCTGCTCTGTTTTATATATATGTGTGTGTGTGTGTGTGTGTGTGTGTGTGTGTGTGTGTGTTATATATATATATATATATATATATATACACACATATATATATATTATATCTCGGCAGCAGATATAATCACAACGAGGCGGAAATTACAGAATCTTTTCAAAGCCCACGTACTGTGGCATCAGGCTGGCCAGTGTACGGACAGATCTTAGATCTGTTTTGTTTTGTTTTGTTTTTTTCAAAGAATCAAATCAAATCAAAAGCAGGAAGCAGAATGTTAGTCTGTCTGTGTCTACAGCCCTTCCTCTGCATGTAACCTCAGGGGACCTCTTTTTCTTTCTCCTCGCATCCAAACTTGGACATATCCAACTTGGAAATACGTTACAAACTAAAACTGGAATGTGAGTCTCGGCTTCTAGGCTTCTTTGTGTGCCCAGTCCTGGTAGTGCTCTTATTCTCCTCATGTGTTTGTTTTACGGCAGCAGCAACATGGTTTGGCTGATGATGATAATGATTCTTCCTTTGTGTTATGGGACTTATCTCAAATACTTTTGGACTCAAATCCACAGAAAAGTTTCTTGGCCCAACATCAGCTGTTTACACTTTGAAGGTCTGCAGGCTCTTATCTAATATCATCAGCAAACCCCTTCTAGCTTATTATGTTAAATTTTCCAATGCTTATTTATTTTTGAGGGAGAGAGACAGAGTGTGAGTGGGAGAGGGGCAGAGAGAGAGGGAGACACAGACTCCGAAGCAGGCTCCCGGCTCCGAGCTGTCAGCACAGAGCCCGATGCGGGGCTCGAACCCACGAACTGGGAGATCGTGACCTGAGCTGAAGTCGGACGGTCAACTGACTGAGCCACCCAGGCGCCCCATAACCTTTGATCATATATCTTACTTTTTTCATAGTTTGTCACTTTGTCTCACACACGGAGCCCCGAACTAGACGGAGTTAGCTGGTCTGGGTCCGAGCAGTATCACGTGCAGTCAGTTGTAATCACTGCCCAGTGGCCGGCTACACGGGGGCAGGGAGTAGGGTGGACAACAGAAACATCACTTACGCCTGCTCCCAGGAAGTGTATTTTGTGGACTCACAACATATAAGCAAAATGAGTGACCCCGTGGTCTGAAGGACCGATTCGTTGCTCCAAAACATCAAAGCTCCCATTTTGCTTCAGATGTCCTGGGTCTATAATCTATCCCTTTATCCTCCCCTGTGTCACCTACTGGGGCCCCTGTTAGGCTGCACTCCCATCAGGGTGGGGATCCAATCCGCCCTGTCAGCATTGTAACTCCCACACTCCAGACAGCACCTTGCACAGAGTAGACCATCAATATTTGTTGAATGGATGAGCAATTCATTTTTCAGGCTGATACAGCGTAGTCTATATAGGTCAGCTGAAAAGTTTGCAGAACTTAAAAGTTCATACTCCAACTGGGTGGGGGAGGTAACAGTTATTTTAGTTTAAAAAGCATTCCTATTGCCTAGGAAGAAGGAAGTATGGCAACAACAAACAGAAGTTGGTGAATTGTGTCAATAACTTGCTTTAAGTCGCTGAAGCTGGTAACTAAAGGTTCACGGGACTCAAGTGCAGCTGCAGCTTTTTACCCAGGCCCTTTATATTTGCCTTTACATTTCCCTGACTCTCCTTGAAGGAGGCAGATCTTAGGCTTGTGCTCTGCTCTCCTGGTTCGGTCACCTCTCAGATAAGTCCTTTCGGTGTCGCATACTCGCTGTCTCAGCGATTATCTTAGCTGTGCCTCAGGCGGACGAACTAGGGTTCAGTTACAAATTTGGCAAGCCGTCCAGGAGCTCCTTGCCCACCGTTCATCTGCTCCCAGCCAACAAGGGAAGTCCGGTGAGTCCAAGCAGCTGCTTAGGCTTTTGATCCTAGGGGACTCACCCCAACTGGTGCACCAAACTTCGGCACCAAATTTAGCTCCTGCGGCAAGGAAATCGTTTTGAGTTTGGGTTGGATGGATGGCTCTTGCTGAGTACTTTGTGTGCAATGGCATGTGACCTTATGTCTTCCTCCCTCTTGGTTCAATCGGTGAAGCTCTGACTTTTGGGGAGCAACCAGGGCTCACAGAGGAACTCTGGGCTTCATTTGGCTTGTGTGTTGTTGCAATTTTTGGTATCTTTGGATAACGCTAGCCATGTTCTAACTGGGAAATGAGAAATGACTGTTTGATCCCCACATGCTGCCCTTTGGGCTGTATTCTCCAAATTTGGGCAATCTTTTTTAATTTTTAATTTATTTATTTATTTATTTTGCAACACTACTTGGCCACCTTATCCGTTAGACTCCTGAGAAAAATGACCAAGTGGTGTGTCTGTAAATTAAAACCCCATCTTGCAATTAGGTTTGGTTTATAAAAGATGATATCTGGAAATTGAGCTTTTAAGATTTTGTTAGCGTCTTGTCTGTGTATTTGTATGGGTGTCCGTGTATATTGTAAATGTGAAATGTTTTCTCTACCTCTGGATGGTATTCCTAAAATTAATTTGTAAGAGAGCTCTAGTTGGCTTAAAAGCAAGCACTTATAAGAATTGGGCATTCTAAAACTCAGAAAAATGGGAACTGACCCAAACATCTTTCAAGTTTATGTGGTCTGGGAAAATATTTGGTATTAAAGCTAATTTCAGGTTGTTAGTTCTATTAAAATGGACCTGTCTTTAGAGTTGTCACCATTATATGTAGAACTTCCGTTCTGCCTGTGTTTACTGCAAGTCAAGGAGGTTCATGTTCTATTACAAAATTTGTCAGAAAAGAAAAAGTGTATGGTATTGGTCTATCACCATTTTTGTTGTTGTTGTTGTTTTAGTTTTTTTGTTATTTTAGTTTCTATTTTGTTCATTTGGGTTTGTTTGGGGTTTTTTTAGAGAAAAACCTTAGTACTTTGTCTAATGCCTAATGAGGTTTTATGGGTAATCTAAGAACAAATAACCAAATAACTTAAATAAATGTCATTCAGACTACCAGAAATAATAAGGGGAATAACTCTGCAAGCAAAGTGAGACTGGTTGTTTAAAGAGGGAAAACTTAGGACAAATTCTGATGTAAAAAGGAAAGTTGAGAAGATTTGTGAGAAGGGAATCTTTGGAAAGGAATTTTTTGCATGGCTGAGGCTAAGATTATGGAGGCTAATATGTAAAAAAAAAAAAAAAAAAGTTGATTTTGGAGTGATCAACACCTGGGGAAAAGAAGGGAGAGTAAGAGATATCCAGCTGTGATACAATATCAACAGAAGTCTTAACTGATTCTCTGGGGAGTTCTAAAGTAGGCTCACCCTTGGGAACCATCCTAAGTTAGAGCAAAAGTCATGCACTTTTATAATAGTCATGGTATGTGACCAGCTGAGAAGTGGGCATGACCTTGGCAAGGCAGCTGTCTTCAGTCAAGGCAATCCTTGATGATCTCTGAGAGTTGAGGACTGTTGGCTGCCTTTCTCCAGCTGAAAGCCCTACATTCCTTTTTTTTTTTTTAAACTTTTTTTTTTTCCAACGTTTATTTATTTTTGGGACAGAGACAGAGCATGAACGGGGGAGGGGCAGAGAGAGAGGGAGACACAAAATCGGAAACAGGCTCCAGGCTCTGAGCCATCAGCCCAGAGCCCGACGCGGGGCTCGAACCCACGGACCGCGAGATCGTGACCTGGCTGAAGTCGGACGCTTAACCGACTGCGCCACCCAGGCGCCCCGAAAGCCCTACATTCCTGATGGAGATTCTGATCAGAACATCCTATATCAACATGGAAGATGACAGGCAGGGAAACAGAGACCACATAAGTTTGCTTAACTCATCTTGTTGGAATGCATGAGTTTTAATGTCAGAAGTATACTGGTATAAGATGGTGTTGTAGACTCTGAATCTAAAATTCTCTCTTGTCTAGCAAAACAGTGGGATGTAGGATTGAAAGTGAGAGATGGCTAATGTCCAGGAAAAGACAAGAGCCCCGAATAAGGGCCCTTGCCCCGCTTTTATTAGGATCAGAAGGCTTACAAACATGGTGATGGACGTGCATAAAGGGACAATGAATCTGTGAATATTAACTTGTGGACGTGAGGGAAAGGGGGTCTTGAAGATACTCCTGGTTTGGGTTAATATAAAACAAAATCCAGGTGCTGGGTAGTCAGGAGGAGGGTTGTTTCCAGCCGACAGGAGGCAGCACCTCTATTTACCTTAGCCAGCCTCGGGGATGAAACAGGGGGAAATAACCTCAGGGTTGACAAGGCACCTTTTCTTTTTTTAACCATCTCAGCTGTGGGCTGCTTTGCCTGCAGCACAAAGGTCCATAGTCCAATTCACCAATTTACCTAACCTGGCCCTATCCTCCTGTGAAAGCAGCTTTCTGCCGTAGTACTAAATTGAGGGTGCTTCCACCCTGAACATCTAATCTTGTTTATTTCATATACCTATGTATTGGGCACCTTTGCACTGTACCTATTTTAGGCCTTTGCCTCTCCCTCCCTATTCTGGGGGCTCTGCACCCCCTCTCTATTTCTGGTACCTTTGCACCTCCCTATTCTAGGGGTGCCTTTGAACCCCCCCTATTCTTGGGGTGCCAATCTGGTTTACCCAGACTCAGGTGTGAGCATTTTATGGCTTTGTATTTCTTTATGCCTTGTTAACCCATTGGTG